CCTGCTCTGCGGGGAGCCTGCTTCTCCCTCTGCCTCTCTCTCTCTCTCTATCTCTCATGAATAAATAAATAAAATCTTTAAAAAAAAAAAAAAAACACTCGGCGTACTTAAATGCCTACACTCTGCTCTCGATTCCCCTACTACATGCTCATTAGTCTTCCTTACAGAAGGAAGAAGGGAAAGGCAGATTTCCGATACATACCCGAAGGACTTCGTTAGCTTTTTTGTTCCTACAGGCTTATCGCTGTGCTGTAATTCGTAGAACACTCTTTGTAATGCTAAGGGGACGCTTTTGGATGAATCATCACCCTCTGTTGGCATCATGTACACAGCCTAAAATAATTGATTAAGAAATAAAAATGGAATTTTATGTGAAAGTATCATTTCTAGTATCACAATGGCTTAAGGTAGTTGATAGGGCTTCTAACTATCCCCCAAAATAGGTCAGGAAGTTTTTTAAAAAAGTAATCATGAAAGTCTTTAGAGGCAATATAAAAAAACACAAGAAAGTAAAAACGAATTTAAAAAATTTCCCACGGCTCACCATCCAAACAGAACCACCTTTATTTCCTACCTCTTGGAGCCACACTTTTTAGCTTAACGTTACTTGTGAACAGAGGTTGTGATAAGACCTAAGTGCCATTTCAATGATCCACATCCGCCTGTCCCTGCGACACCGTCCTGTCGGGGCAGTGACAGTGCCGCCGGAACTGGAAAAAGCCAGCAGACCGGCCAGCGGCGCCCCCAACAACCAGGAGTCCGTGTTGCCTGCACTGCTCCATGCTGTTCACACGGCATTCCAAAGGGACAGACGACTAGCTATCCTACATTACAGTCAAGGGATGTCTGTGGTTTTTATTAGTATTCTCACGAACCTAAGGTTTACCTGTAAGTGAAAATTAGACTTCACCACCAGGGGCTTTTCCAAAAATTCAGTTTTGATAAAAACTTTCAAATGTCGCTGCTAATGGCTTTCATGTTAAAAACAAACAAAAACTTTATTATGGAGCTACAGAGCCCCATAAAGTTAGGTTTGTTAGCCAGCCAACTTTTGATCACCCAAGTTAGCTTTACAAGTGTCCACACGCTGAGGAATAAAGATACGCATTCGCATAAAAGAGGGGCCCTCTCTGGAGACAGCACTGTGGTACTGGGAGAGACACGGCAAAGTCGGGTGACAGGACTTTGCCTGTCCCTGAGGACTTGAGCAAGAGGGTGGGTGGAAGGTTGAGGGAGAGAAATACCATCCATTTACCTTTCGTAGTTGATTTGTGAAAAATAAAGTCTGCAGCAGGCTGTTCATGTAACAAGTCGCTCCCTGATTCTTTAAACCGACATAGCCCGTGTGCTTCTTTGAATCCCACCTACAAGATCAGTCGGAGGTTGAGGGAAAACCGCACAGGACACCTCCTCACTTCTGCAGTGTGTGTGGAGCGTTTTGGCGAGACGCCGGCGAGACCCCGCACTGCCGTGCACCATCACCTCTTTCCCACCAGCCTGACGCAGGAATGACAGCCACGCACCCCTCCAAGGGAGAAACTCACCGCCAGGCCCCCGGGCACCGAGGGCACTGAGGGCACCAGGGCCAGGAGCTCTTAGCACGGTCATGGGCTCTGCTCGCCCCAGCGCACGAACCCAGCACTGGAAAAGTGGCTTAACGCCACCGACGGCAGCCCTGCCTCCTCCTTCCGCGATCAGCACTGACAGACAATCGTGAATTCTATGGGACTGGCTCCCAGTGTGGGTCCATCGCACACACACTAGGTCACATGTGGAGTGAGCAAGAAATGCAAACAGTCGGAACCCCTCTTTTTGCAGTTATACACATAAGCAAAGACAAGCATGTACACTGGGGCAAGTTCTAGCTCAGGCTTCTAAACTCCTAGTGCTCTTTCTCCCTGGTCTACAGTGCTGGTTGCTGAGGAGAAAAGGTACATTTTCTCAGAGTTAGCAGCCCCCACTGCATGCTCCCCCCATCATAACAGGAAGCTAGAGAGAACGCCAGTTGGAGCCACCCCCTTCCCCATCTCCCTCTGAATGTAATGCAAAGACATGAACGAACACGATCGCCACCAAGTATGACCAACACTAGAGATGTTTATTGTTGGCCGAGGTCAGGGTCAATACTACTACTCTGGGATTCCAGGGCTTAGGCTGTGACCCTGCTGACACGCTCGGGTGTACCAAAGGGCCCTGGTTAAAGTGTGTGCGTGGGTGGGTGTGAGTGTCTGTGCGTGCAAGTGCATCTGTGGATAATTTTAAAACTTGGCAAGAAAATATAAGAATCCTAAATTACAGATGGTTATTTTAAAAACTATAATCAAAAATTAAGTGATAATGGCTGAACAGGTTTTGATAAGTAAGACTAAAGCAAGAAATCTGTTTTGATTGGTAAGGCTGGAAAACCAATCCAAATTTTTAGTCAAGTATATCATAAACAAGGGAAGTTTTTCAAAATGGAGAGGAAATACCCATAAAAAACTTAGTTTTCTTCTTTTTGCCCCCACTCCTGATATCTGAATACGATCTGAGCTCTGAAAAGGCCCCTTAAGAAAAGCTGGATTCCTCCTGTACACACCCCAGGCCACAGCAGCCAGGACCCAGACTAAGTAACAGCTCCTTCTTGGCTGCCCCACGGTTCCCTGCCCCAGTCCATCCAGGTCAACCCACACCCGCACTCTTGCCAGAGCAAGGCCAAGTGAAGACAAAATAACGTGGGCAAGAAAGAGGTGCCTGCCGCTGAACTTCTTCCCAGACTGCACCTACAGCCTCACCCTCGGGCCTCGACCCGTCAGCAGGGCCCCACAGCCTGATTCCAGCTTCCAGCTCAACCTCCACACCTTCTGGATGTGCTGCCCAACCCCACCTTTCCCTGCTGATGTCCTCGCTCCTGTTGTTCTCCCTGCCCCAACCCCTCACCCTCCTTGACAAGTAATCCACCCTCCCCCCATGCTTCCTGTAAGGCCGAACACTGCCTCATGCACACAGACCTCCCACCGCTGAGCGACATCCCATCTCTTATGGGTCCTCCGAGCTCGGGTCCATCGGACTCACCACCTCCAACCCACCCATTCCTCCCCTGCTTCCTCATCATACCCTCCGCTCCCAGGCCTTCCCATCCCTGCCCTCTTCAGAGTAAAACCAGGGCATTTCCTCTGTAGGATCCATGAACCGCCCCACCAGTCTGGACATTTGAGGACAGGAACCCACGGCTGTCCTGCCGAGCATCATCACGTTCCTAGTGCACAGCAGTGTCCGGCCTACAGAAACCACTCAAGAAAACACGCCAAGCGAAGGGGTGAAGGTGAGGCTAACATACAGAGCCGTGTACCCCCCGTATGTGTGGGCAAGCGCAGGAGAGTGCGTATCTGTTAAGTATGTGCATCTCTGTCCACATGCTAGTGCTTCTCTCAGCACAGCACAAAAGGTGTTTCTTAATAGCACCCAATTAAAGAAAAACTTACGCAACTCCATGGGGAGCATCCGCCTGTACAAAGACTTCAAAAGTAACTTTGTCATCATCTATAAATCCTTTCTCAGGATCAGTCACTTCCTATAAAAAATAAGAATATCCAACTTCCATAAGAACACACAAATGCTCGCTTCGTTCCAAAGAGACAATAACCCTAGTGCCCTCTACGTATTAAGAGGAAAATACTACTTTTTCTAACCCCTAAATAGTGCTTCTGATTTTGCAGTGTTTTGATTTGCTTTAACTAGTGTCCTCTGAACAAAACCAACAAGAGCTTGGTTCCTCTAGGAAGCATCCAGGGGGCACTGGGGGCTCGTCCAAGGCACGGTCCGGAGGCATCGGTGCCTGCTCCCCAGAGCAAGGGCTCCAAGAGTTCTGGAGAACCCGCACTGGAGGACCCAGCAGGACACTCCTGACAACGCACTCCTGGGTTCCACCTCTGCCAAGAGCAGCCAAAACAGACGGGGCTGAGAACTGAGGAGGTAACCTGAAACCATGCCTGACTTAGGGGGACCCCCACCAATACTGCCTTGTCAACTGCTTAAAAACCTCAGCTAGCCAACTGGGAGAAACACATTTTCGGACACCTGTCCCACTTAGGAATGAAGGAACTCGGGAAGGAGTAAGGCTCAGATCATTCTGCATAAATACTCGGTTACTTACGCTCCAGGCCATGAAATTGGAAAACCCCCAATCGTTCTCCTTGTGAAAGAACAAGTGGCTAATGCGGCGGCTGAACGACTTCTCATCGTCTCTGTAATTTATTATCTTCAGCACAGCTTGCGCGTGGCAAGACCACGACCTGTTCAAAGAAAATCTAAGCCTCAGTTGACCTATTTAACTGATGTTTGCACACTTTCAAAAAACACAGCACACAAAAATTACCACATTTTTTCCTTTTTTGTCTTTTATTTTTTGGGAGGGGTGGGAGGAGCTGGGAGAAGGACATATTTACCTTTAATGGTGAAAACAGCTAAAAGGGTTTGGGGGTGCCCCTAGGCCATCCGTAGTGATCTGACCCATGGTTTTATTACTTTTAATTTCTTTAAAAAGTTTTAGGTCAGGTTCTTTTTTTTATTGCTATCAATAAAACAGAGAAGTTTCTGAATTTTAGATACTGGTCTTTAGATTCTATGAGATTCTATTTTCTGGTCACATGGTAGTTTTAGTATCTAATCTGGGTATTATGTGAAAGAACAGAACAAGGGAAGATCAAAGTCGTGCCCTCCAGGAGCCCCCTCTCCCAGCGGCTCCCAGGCAGGGCTGTGCCACGCGCTCCCGGGGCTCTGAGCAGAGCCACCCAATCACAGCACAGCAGAAGCGTCCCCGCTGCCGTCAAGGTGGGCACAGATCACAAAAGGGCCTCTGGATCAATGTTTAAAACCCGAAAGGATACAGCCCTTTAAAGGTCTGCTAAGTGCCTGGGGCTACAGGAGAGCTGAACCCACAAGAGCGCAGCCTCGAGGCACCTGCGCGTCTGCTGGCTTGGGCCCCGCCCCGGACACGGACCGCTCGCTGTTTCCCCAAACAACTGTCAGCCTGAAGTTGTCTGTCAGACTAACGTGTAGCCCAAATACCAGAAATTAGGTCATAATGGGAACACAGGAAGAAAAAGTTCAACCTACACACAGGCCCTGGCTGCAGCCCACACTTGGCTTCGCGCCTCTTACACATTCAAATCAAAAGCTCAAGGAAACGGACTGCGTTCCCCGAAGCCTGGACAGAACAGCAAGGGCCAGGGGAATAGCCTCCGCTGAAAACTCCAAAGGGTCCTAGTCTGGGGGTGACCGCAGAAGGAAGCAGCCTTCTCACGGGCTCCTCGATATGGAACGAGAAGGACACGATGACCCAGTGATCCGGGGACCCCTTCAAACAATGTCAACTAAGCTTCTGAGAAATGCTGAACAATGACAGTTTTTAATTAAGGGAAGACTCAAACTTTTGAGAATGAATCAATGGGTAGAAGATGTGAAGACTTAATCTTTAGTTTCATCTGAATAAAGGGACCATGAAGCTTTACTCAATTTGAAGACATTTTATTACATACTTCTTTTTAAAAATTATAGGAACAAAACAATATTCCTAAAATAAGCTGAAGAGGCCCATGCTGTAAAACTCTCAAAGAATGTTTTAATTTGATCTTTCTGAATCAACACACAGGAACTGTTTAATACAACAATGGGGAGGCCACAGGACCTGAGGAATTTTCCTGGACTACAGTTTTCCCCTCAGGCAGTGACTTGTAGAGTATGAAAGCCTGCAATCCAGTAGTGAGCCTGTCCAAAGGGGCCCCGATTCCAGGTTCCATGGGCTGGTAGATTCTAACCCGTGAGCTTCACTTTCTCATTTGCAAGAAAAACAGACACCTTTTCTAGTTTGGATAGAATACCTACCAGTGAGTTTTAAAGAGGGAAATGTATTTCATCAAATGTAAAAATCAAAGGGCTATGTAGAGGCAGCAAGGAAACTCAAAACTGTTAAGTTCAAAGAGGCTGATCAGATCGGGCCTCCAATCACGTAGCATAACTATTTGTGGGTTTGTAATCGCATCATTTAAACTGTCTTACGTGGAATCAGATTCAGCATTGCACTGGAGAAAGAATCCTACGCTTTTTTGGTGTGGTCTGTCTGGATAAAAGCGTGGCATCACCATAATCTTCCATGGCAGATTTCGCACAAAACACGGAGGGCTAAGGACCGACTCACTCAGTCTGCTGAAGCGCTCGACAGTGAACTGAAAGGTCGCCTCGGAGCGCCAACTCGTGTCTGCAAGAGAAGGCCGTGTCAATCACAGGGCTCGGGCATCATGAAACAGCACCGACGGCCGCCGACCGTGGGACCCCGTGTGGGACAACCAACGACTGCGGGCAACTGCAACCTAACTGCTAGACCCGACTCTTGGGGAACGCGAGAGCGTCATTTCCCGAGCACTGATAACCTAGAACAGTGAGGTAACACACAGTTTATGTGTGAATGAAATCCAAAACCCAGAGGGCTAACAACACACACCTGCCTGCCCTCCTCAATTCCAGAGTTCAGCCTGTATGAACGTCTACTCTACTCTGGCAATTCCCGAGTCCTCCTCAGTGAGTGGGCAGGCTGGGCAGAGGCCAAGGCCCGGGGAGGGGTGGGGGAGGGCTGACCTGGGCCAGGTCTGCAGAGGAGCAGTGAGGGGGGCAAGGCGCTTGTGGGAGCACAGAGAGAGTGCCACAGCCATGGCCACAGCAGCGCGGACAAGACTGCTGAGAAGTGAGCCCCAAAATCAATGTTAACTTCATCAGTTCACAAGTTTTGTGAAATACCAGCCTGGACTCAAAGAAACTGGGATTCTTCTCCACATAAATCATAAAAATCGTTAAATCTACTCAGCAAGACTTGAAGGCCAATTTAGGGAATTAAGGTTTTCTCCGACAGAAAGTTGAGTGTGGATATAGTGCCTCTCTCTTAGCCGACTTTCAATTAAAAGTCACACTTTAGGGGCGCCTGGGTAGCTCAGATGGTTGGGCATCTGCCTACGGCTTGGGTCATGGTCTCCGAGTCCTGGGATCGAGCCCCATGTCGGGTTCCCAGCTGGGCGGGGGGGGTCCACTTCTCCCTCTCTGCCTCTCCCCCGCTTGTGCTCTCTCTCAGATGAATAAATAAAATCTTAAAAAAAAAAAAAAAAGTCACACTTTAGGGGCTCCTGGGTGGCTCAGTCGGTTAAGTGTCTGCCTTCTGCTAAGGTCATGATCTCTGGGTCCTGGGACTGAGCCCCACACTGGGCTTCCTGCTCAGCAGGGAGTCTGCTTCTCTCTTCCTCCCTCTCTCTCTCAAATAAACAAAATCTTGGAAAAAAATTCAAAAAGTCACACTCTAGAATTCCACCTTTGACTGATGGGGACTATTCATTTACAAGTGACATTGGCTTCTGATTAGCCCTGATAAGCCCAGCAATGTCTTCACAGATGCTTCTCAAACTCAAGTGAAGCAGCAGCCCTCCCCAGGCCACCGCGCCCATCTTACTGGCTGGCACTTTTACAGAACATCGGGAAGCTGCTACAGCAAGGTCGAGGGTCTACATGCTTTCTCTGCACTTCGGTACCTAGCTGGTTGCAGACAGGCTACAGTTCACCGGGTGGAAGGGGACCAAGAGCCACACTGTGAAGAGCCACCGCTGGTTTACATAACACTCTAAGGTACATGGAAGAAGGCTTTTCCTGGTTTGCCATCAGGGGCTATTTTGGCATCACTGACCCCCAGGCTCCTGAAGCACCAAGGGAGGCTCTCAAGCTTGGAGGAATAGAATGTTAAGAAGAACACACTGCCTTCCTTCATCCTTCAGTCTCCAAACTTCACTAAGCCAACCAAGTGCGCTTAGGATAAGGACTTCTCAGGGTACGGAAATTGCTTACGTTTGTGACTATCTGAATTTGTTCTTAAGAAAACATGTCCATCAATCCTCATGAGAGGGTAGTATTCTTTACCAAAGAAATAAGAACCAAAAGTAAGCGTGACAGCTGGCCCTGATCCCTTGTTTCAACACTCTTCCTCCCCAGTTTTTCTGCTACATGTAACCTTGCTCAGCATACTGCACAGGCCCTTCAGAAGGAAGGGCTGCTCAAGAGGGGTGAGTCCCGTCTAAGAGATGCAGCATGTACTCGAGCTTCCTCAAGTGGCAGCTATGACCTTAACCCCTTCGAGGGGCAAAAGTACTCAAAAAGCCAAGAGATGGGCTCAAGGTCATGTAATGGCTTAGAAGAAAGTGGGCCATTATTTCACAGACTCAAATCACATGTGAGCAGGGTTTCAATCCTGCAAGGTAGGCAAGGGTAGATGTTACTCCCACTTTACAGATGAGGGAACTGAGGTTCACTGAGGTTAAGTGGTTTATCTTATCTGAGGTGTTTCACAAAATGAGGAGCACAGTGGGTTTCAGTACCCAAGATCTGTGGCCCCTAAACGGTGACCTTGCCTCTGGTTTGTAAAATGCCATATTCTAGAGTTTAACATCCCCCCAAATGCAGAGCCCAATCAAACTGGCCTGCTTTATGGAGACCAAAGAAATGCAATCAACCAAATAAACATCAACTCAGGGCACGCACTCATGAGACCCTAAAGAGTTCAATGTCCCAAAGTTCTGCCTCTCTTCTAACTCAACTATTTGTTTTCAGATACAATTCCATTCTTTGTCAGATTAGATTTTTACATAGACAAAAACTGAAACATATCATAAATGCTTTTCTGTTCTCTCCCACACTTTAGTCAAATTCCAGAATTAATCTTAAATATTAAATAGGACCCACAAACCTCAGCATGGCACTGTGTCCACAAGATGGCCAACCCTTCCTTCAGAGGCAGAGAGGTTCAGCGGCTCCTGCCTGGCGCCGTCCTGCCTCACCCAGCTCAGCTCACACGCGGGGATTTATACACTTGGTGTGAGATTCCACCTCACATTCAAGCACATCCTTAGGACAGACTTACTTCTGAAACATGCTAACTAGGACATTTAACATGAGATTTCATGCAAATAAAAATGTTGCCTTATGGCTTCTCAACTCTTTGTAACTAATTACATAAATGAAAAATAACATTATATACCAAAAGGTCAAGGCAAGAGGGTCTACAAAAGAGCAGAGAAGGCTTGAAACCCATCTCTGGCAGAAAGGCCTGGCCTGATCACACTCCCATAAGCAATTACAGGAGATATAAATGTCTGCCCAAGAAAACAGGTGAAAGGTACTCCAAGATCCTATTTTTGCAACTTCCCTGTGTCTATAATTACTTAAAAATTTTAAAAAAGTGTAAAGCAGTACACTTGGGATTCTGAAGGATGCCCCACATCCTGCAGAATTAGTGTTTAATCTGAACAGAGACTCTATAACCTGCCTGAATGCCACATGTAGTGCATTACTCCACACCTCTTTTTATTGTCAAGGACAGGATGATGAGTTTCTGCTACCTGATGTCACCATACATCCTCAGCCGGAAGACTTGAAGACTCAGTACCCACCACCTCCACTCCTGCCTTCACAGAGCAGCGCCACCGTGCCCATTCGTACTCCCACCTTATCTTCACAGGGCAAAGGCCAATGAACCAGACTAGGGTCCAGTTGCATGAAAAAGGTAGAGTAAGATATAGTCTTTTAATTTTAAATCAGAAGGTTAGCCTAAAGAATTCCCAAAGGCACTCTTGCAGTAATTTTATCAAACCTCTATTTTTCTTTCAAGAAATGACTCCTGTTTCATGGGTACCAACAATCTCTATTTGCAGAGGCTGCATTTACTCTGAAACTTCTCATTTTCATCTAAGGAAAGACTGAGTAAGAAACTAAAAGTAGCATAGGTAGGTGCAACCAGAAAATGATTCTGACACTTGCCCGTAATCCCATGTTACCAGGACTTTTAAATATGTTCTCTATCTCAACCCAACACCTGTCTGTGCTTTCAGCCATTCAACTTTTGTGGAGAAACCCCCCTCCCAAAGAAGGCCCCTCTGCCCAGTAAATAAGCCTAATCTAGCATTTCCTAGATTGTGTGTCCTACTTTACCAGGTCAGAAGGATTCAGTTTGAAAAGGATTTCTAAAGCTGAGAGTCTTGGGGAATCATTAACAAGTCTTTTGGAGAAAGACATTAAGGTGCGGACAGCACAGAGAAGCCCGCGATACAGACATTTGGTTGGCCCAGCACCCCTCAAACTTCCTAGACCACTCAAGACTTCTCACCACATGCTAACATCCCACAGAAGAGAGTTTCAGAATACCTAGCACAACCGGGAAAATGCTGCCCTGTACTAAGGCTTCTTCCTAGAACCAAAACAATCTCCCTCCCGTCCTCTTACCACCAAAGAGATAAAATCTTTTCACTCTCTTATGTTGGGCCTTTCAAAAGACACCTAAAATCCCAAGCCAGGAACATGGTGCTACTGAAGACCACTCTGCTTTGTCCTATAATATACCCTTTCCCTGTTTGGTAACTCACTACAGGAATATTTCCACTATTAGGTTCTATGGTTTGGCACCATTATTTACTACTATCACTTTAGTAAACTTTGCCTGCTAAGGAAAGGGGTTTTATGTACATTACGGATCTCCTAACAGTGGTTCTCAAATGAGGCAATCTGGACCCCCAGAGACGTCTGGCAGTGTCTATTTCTGGTTGTCAGGACTGCGGGGAGAGGGCATAAGGGTGGGATGACACTGGCATCCGATCACGCCAAGGACGGCCCCTACAACAAAGAATGATGAGTCCAAAAAGGCAACAGTGCCAAGGTCAAGAAACCCTGCCCTTTATCTACACCTGCACCTCCTCCCAAGCCCTCCCCAAAAACACACGCGAGGAAATATTCCTTTGGAATTGCTCTGTGGAACTAGACAGGGAGCTGTCTGCCTGGGGTGGACCAGTTACTGCTCCTCAAGGGACTGGCACCCGTCTCTACCTCACACCTGGCACATCGGGCCTAGTCACACCTTCCCAACTGCGCTCTCTGAATCACTTTCGGCATCTCTGGTGTCTGCAATAAAACCAAGAGCCCAGCAACCAAAGAGACCACACCCACACCGTTGCCCTTGATCTACAGTGGAAAGCGCACTCCACAGGTAACAAAGCAGCGGGGTTTAGACCACGCCTCTTTACCTTCCTCAGATATTGCCTCAGCCAGCTGCCAGGGGGTAAACCGCACTGTGAGAGAACTCTCAACTACGTCTGCAGTTTCTCATGGAGGCTGAACTTTTGGCAGGAGGTCTGAACAGCAGTCCTTCTGGTGGTGCAGCCCGTGACTGACGGTTTCTTTCAACTGCCCCGTTACTCCCCTGGGAAGGACACAACCCTCATGAGGATTGATGGACATGCTTTTGACAGAACACGGTTTCATATTACACTGCAAGATTCCAGGGACTGCATAAAGTGATTACTCGCTGCTACCGTCTCAGGACATTGACTAAGTGTACAGGTCACCTATGTAATAAATTATAAAGAAGAAATAGCCTCGAAAGAAAATGATTTCCTGGGCACAAAATGTCCATGCATATACCTATGCATACACTTTTTGCATAGAAGATACAGACCAAAAGTTAGTGTGGGAGAATGAAGCCCAAAGCTCGATTGTGATTTCACACCTAATGGGAGCGGGGAGGGATTATCAGCTACAGACAACTGATATACACACTACAATAAGAATGCAATGGAAAGCCAAGTTCCAATGTTTAGAAGTATCTTGCTGCAAACAAAAAGGAAAGGAGAGTAAGATAAACTTGTTCTGAACACTAGCAGTGGCTGGGAAATTGCAAACCTGAGTAAATCCCCATCTATTACAAATTTCTGTATTTAAACCTTCTCACCTAGGCTGGGGAGAACCACCTTACCCTGAAATTTGTAGGTAATCTTGAAATTCAAATCCAAAACAGTCTCCTAAATTTTCCTCAGATACAAACCTCCTGAAAACTAGCTACTCCTACGAAACTCAGAAGTACTCAATGAAGAAATCTATAGCACATCTAGTTGTGTTTCTGAAAGTTTTCTGCCCAATGCAAGTAAACAAACCACACATACTCACCATCCTCCATATCTTCCTCTGTGTTGTTGTGCCCATCACTCATGGCTACATTCCCGTTGATAACAGGGTTTTGAGTAATTCTTGGTGGGTCATCTGTATCTCCAGCTTTAAAGAAAACAAAGAAATTCCATGGTTTTTACCTTCAGGTCTTGGATTAAATAAATAAAAACATATTGTACTTCTGACGATTTCTAATCACTAATACCATCCAAATGTACCATAACCAACACGCTCTAACCCAAAGGGTATATACTAATACGTTTACTAAATATGAACTTTCAGTGCTTTCAAAATGCTAAATGGGATGCAAACAATCATTATACCACATTTGCTCCATTTGCAATGATATTTTGAAATGGGCTTCCTACTCATTAAGACTCAACCCATGGGGTGCCTGGGTGGATCAAGTGGGTTAAGCGTCTGCCTTCGGCTCAGGTCAGGATCCCCGAGTCCCAGGATCAAGCCCCAATCCCCACGTCGGGCTCCCTGCTCAGTGGGGAGCCTCCTCCCTCTCCCTCTGCTCCTCACCCTGCTCATGCATGCACGCTCTCTCTCTCAAATAAATCTTTAAAAAAATAAAAATAAAACTCAACCCCAGAGAAAACATTGTTAACTAAATATATACATAGCAGTGTGCATTAGAACTTTCTACCACATGTCAGTGCTTTAAAACATCACAGCCTGAGTCTCAAAGTGTCACTGGACAATTACTGTAACAACTGAAGTATAAATCCATGCAAAAACCAGAAATGGAGGTTGGGAGGGGGCAGAGGGGGTGTGAAAAGGGGGGGTCCCTAGGAAAACTGTCATTTATAAAGAGTCTGGAAAGGATTGAGAAACACATAAAAAGATGTGCTACAGATTTCTTTCTTTTTTTTTTTTTTTTTAAGATTTTATTTGTTTAAGAGAGAGTGTGTACGGGGCGGGGGGTGGGGGGGTAGGCTCCGTACTGAGCAGCTCGACATGGGGCTCGATCCCAAGACCCTGGGATCATGACCTGAGACAAAGGCAGACGCTTAACCAACTGAGCCACCCAGGTGCCCCTGTGATATAGATTCCTAAATGCTTGCTGAAATGTGGCTTGACAAACATTTACATATAATCAAAGACATGGATTAAAAACTTTGCAGCAATGAATGGCAACTATAAAGTGTAAACTCCAAATGTAACATCCTTATCTCTATTTAAAAACAATTTTCTTACGCTGACATAGGTCCTTGACGTAAAAGGAAAAAAACGCCCAAGTCAGGACTTGGGATTTAAAGAGTCTTCATTAGCCAAAAGGGTCCATCCTTCATATGCAAACCCACTCCTGCCTCCAGATATCAGAAGAGCTCACTGCAACTAATGTGACCCCTTTATGTTGCCTCTACACATGCTGACTGAAATCAGCAGTCTTAGCTGCGTACAGGAGATGCGGTTTTTAAAAACAGCTACCTCAGTGTGTCCTAGGCCTGCGACATTTCAGAACCTTTCCCCCATTTGGATCGGCAGTCGGCCTGATTCAGCACCACGGACAGCGCCCTCCACGTCCCCTCTAGACACTCTCCAAAACCCCCAATTACCAGATTACATTTTAAGTAATTCCTGAATATAAATCATGTTTTTTCCCTTAAGCATCTCAAAACACACCTTAGAAATCCCTGGAGGCCAAGAAACAGGTATTACCGAATTTATATCACTTCCAATCCTGATACTCTTGTTTTATGAACTATCAATACATACACTTAAAAATGTGTTAAAAGTTATTTTTAAAAACATATACATTTTTGAACTGGTCCCTCAATCATCACACACCAAAAAAAAAAAAAAAAACTGGAGTGGGGAGGAGAAATTCTTTTTGCTGTTGATTAATTAGCTTAAACTCTAAAACATATGTGCTTAAAAAGCAACATAAAAAAAGGTACTTTGAAATGTCTTTCATCCACATTTATCCTCCTAAATTAACAACAAACCATCATTTAAAATATTTTATGAGGAAAAACCACTATAAAGGCCTATGAAATAAATTATGGCACATTCCACCAATAGAATATTATGCAGCAGTGTCTTATAAAGCAGTGTTTCAATGTACTATGTGGAAAGTTCTCTAACCTGTAAGTTAAAAAAAAAAAAATTAAAGATACCAAGCAATAAATATCTTCACATGCAACCTCCGTTATAAAAGAGACAGAGTATGTTGGAATAAGAGCAAATAAATTCTCATTTCCCTTTACATGATGAACAAACACTGGAAAGACACATCAACTATTAAGAGGCTCTCCAGAAGTGGCAACAGTGTGAGTCTGCACTATACACACTCTCACATCACACGAATGCACCGTAAATCTTAAAATAATTTGCTTGACGTAGGCTTGGTATTTTAATTTAGTTCCTCAGTTCAAATCTGCCCTACTACAATTGCCTTAAAAAATGGTTTTTAGTGCATGATTGCAAAAACAAAAACCTCTGTATACAGAACAGCATCACACCTAAAACTAGGCGCTTTGTAGATGTAAGCAGTCAGAACTACAGAGCGGGTCACAGAATTCCCCAACTGATTCATAATCCTGAAGATTCTGAGATCCAAGTGAATTCAGATTATAGCTGAAACAAGGTATCTTTAAAGGTCTTGGCGACTTGAAATACAGTACTTTTTCACCAAAAGTTATGGTAATAATAAAAATCAAGATCAAGTTGGGGCACCCAACCCTTGATTTTGGCTCAGGTCGTGATCTCAGGGTCGTGGGATCAAGCGTGGGTTCCCCGCTTAGCAGGGAGTCTGCTTCTCCCTCTCCCTCTGCCCCTCTACGGGCTCATGCTCGCGCACGCTCTCTCTCTCTCTCTCTCTAAAATACATCTTAAAAAAAATATGAAGATCAAGGGCGCCTGGGTGGCTCAGTTGGTTAAGCGACTGCCTTCGGCTCAGGTCATGATCCTGGAGTCACAGGATCGAGTCCCGCATCGGGCTCCTTGCTCAGCGAGGAGTCTGCTTCTCCCTCTGACCCTCCCCCCTCTCATGCTCTCTATCTCATTCTCTCTCTCAAATAAATAAATTCTTTAAAAAAAAAATATGAAGATCAAGTCAAAAAGATCTATGGATCACCATCCCCGGCACCTTACTGTGTAGGGTATAGGAAAAAATGGGCCACAGTTTTTCAGAAGTAGGATTAACTGCAATGCAATGACTGACAAAAGTCTAATATTTTATAAATGAGGGATCCTATTCTAGTGTTAATTAAGACAGGATTTTCTGCAGTTGGTCCCTAAAGGCAAAACAGATAGAGTTCTACATTTGAACTGGGTTCTCCTCAGCAATATCCCACCTTTTTACACATTTGTGCTGGGCTGTTCCATTTGCTCTTTTCCACCCTCCTTAAGCATGCAGATGCTGGTCCAGGCCAGTGGCTATGAAATGACAAAAAGTCCCTGGTGGGTCCACCACATACATGAGAAATCTGGCCAGTGACAGGCCCCATGAAGCTCCCAACCAACTGCCATGGGGCCTTGGTAGAAAAAGTTGGCAACTCAAGTCTAGCTCCTAAGGGACTGAATATCCAGTTAAAAAAAGCTCCTTATAAATGAGTTAGTTCAGCAAGAGGATTAAAAATTTAATTAAGACACAGTAAATCCCTGGACCTGAATTCAATGAGGAAAGTACCCAAAGCCCACAAAACTCTGTATTAGACTTCCAGAAATATCTTCAATGGTTAAGACTGCCTTCATTATCGTCAAAGAAGTGCATGACTGGTGTGTGTATATGCATTTATCTCTATATATAAAGTGATCCTGTTCCTGAATTTTATGTCCCAACTGACTGGAACTTCCCCAGATGTGTTAACTCTCATTTGGCCATTTGTGAACTACAACACTCATTTTTTGACACACAATGGTCTCAAGTAAGATTGGGGACATACGGGGCGCCTGGGTGGCTCAGTTGGTTAAGCGACTGCCTTCGGCTCAGGTCATGATCCTGGAGTCACAGGATCGAGTCCCGCATCGGGCTCCTTGC